ATCTGCTATCCTTTATCGACTTCCAGTAAAAATTTCATGATATTTCATCTATTGGAAGTGAAGTTATTGCATTTTAAGTGTCAGTATGTTTTTGTCATCGGTGCGAAAATGAACTTCGAACAAAGAGCCAACATTAAATTTTGTTTTAAAATTGGTAAAACTTTTACCGAAACGTTTCAATTGATTAATTATGTTTATGGCGATGATTGCCTATCCCGTAGCAGAGTGCACGAGTGTTCAAAGTGGGCGTGAGGACATACATAAGAAATGAGCCGAAACCCAAAAAATCGCGCCTGGAGAAGTCAAAACTGAAGACAATGCTGATTTGTTTTTAGGATTCCAAGGGTATTGTTCAAAAAAATTTGTTCCAACCGGCCAAAACGTTAATGCGGTATTCTACCTTTTAGTTTTGAAGCGTTTGGTGCGCCGTATTCGACGTGTTCGGCCCGAATATCGCGAAGTTGGAAGTTGGCGTTTGTTGCACGATAATGCGCCGTCTCATCGATCGACGCTTGTGGCCGATTATTTGACCAAAAATCACATTTTAACAATCAACCACTCCCTGTATTCAACGCATTTGTTCTGTCTTTTTTTTGAAAGTCCTGTTTACTTTGGAACGCACCTTGTACATACATACATTTCTTAATTGTTGTGATTTTGTAGAACACAGCGCGAATATGTAAAAAATATCAAAGAGAAATAAATTAAAATATTAAGAAGTTTTTTTTAGCAATATTGTTTGCTAAATTTAGCAGCGAGCCAAATTCGGCAGCACACGTAGTATGAAATAGTTAATTGATATTTATATTTGCCATCTTTTGTCGCCACACGCACAATAGGCAAAATTTCTGCGTTCTACACAAACGCAAAATAATTTTTTTTAACAAGCTAAATGAACGTGCAGCGGTCAATTAAAATTCAGCTAAGTTGCCTGTTGTCTACGAGCAATTGTTTTATATGTATCCGCTGTATTATTTTGAGTCTATAATAGCTTTGAATTTATAAAGTGTGCGGGGATGATTCTTACACTTTTAAGGGAAGCATGAATATTATTATTTCGTTGTTGTTTAAAATTAATTTTTATTTATTATTTTGTAGTTATTGTATTTACTTTTGTTTTACTCATTTAGTTAAGATTTCTGCGCATACCTTTGTGGAAAATAAATTATTTGTCAAATATTTTATATAATAAATCAATCTGCGCAGAAGATAATGGCATATAAAGTTGCAAATTTTGCATCAAAACAAAATACTATCACAGTTGAGATGCGCATTCTCATTGCAAACACGTACTCACACCCGAGAGCGTGGCGTCGTTATGCATGCGCAATGAGTTGCGCGCATTCCTGGCGCCCCTTTGTTTTAAATGTCGCCAAACGAATACTGCAAAAATTGTGTTAATAAATAATAAGTTAAGTATTTTTGAGGAATTCTTAATTGTTATGCATTATATAAGTGCATAATTGGTATTGCTGTCGAAATCGAGGAATTCATTTGTGCAAATACTAATAACTGTTTTCAACAATAGCCGCGTACATAGTTAGCATATAAAATAGAATCTCGGCATGCAATTAATTACCAACAATAAAAATAAAAATTGTTTTAACTATGTGCCTGAACAATCACATAAGTATTGAGTGTTCGATAAGTCGTAATTGTTAGATTAAAAATGTTCCCACCATAATTTTGAAATTGTTAATCAATAATTAACACGTTTTGAACATTTTATCAGCTACTTACTACAGATTGGATTTATTGCTTATTTTTATTGTGATGTTAAGATCTTTTGGCAATGCTGTAATATCTACCATTTTAAGAGCAATTTTCAAGGCAAAAAATAATTAGAGGGGACTTAAAGTGTTATAGCCACTTAGAAATCAGAGAGAGGCATTTTATTTAATAAATAACAAAAAAAAAAAATTACATTTATTAATTCACGTATAATTTTGAAAAATTTTGAACTACCTTGATCCCATAACCGATCTCCAAAAGGGCCTCCAAAACCAAAAACCAAACCACAAATATTTAACTGTAGATAAATGGATGATGTAATAGTCAAAATCTCGAGTTTTGCTAAAATCGCGACTTCCAAGAAATAAATATGTTGTTTGTGAAAAAATTTACACCTCTGAAATCGAAATTATTATTAAAAATCTAATTCTTTCGATCATTACCAGACATACCTATGTATCTAAGAATGTCGTGTTAAATATGTTTCGACTGGACCAGTCGTTTCGGATCAATTTCAAACTTTCGGAGCTTATTCTCTAATATATTTAGATGCTATAAGAATATTTTCAAAAACCTTTTTTTTATAATTCACATTTGTATGTAATCCCTACTCAAATCGACCTACTGCGATGCTACAACTAGCTCTGCTTCCAATCTGACTGCTCAAGAACTGCTTAGAATTATATTTATTAATTTTATACGTGAAATTCTCTTAGTTCTAAAGTACTTTATCAGAATTTTCTATCCATTCCAGAATTGCTTGGTAAAAAACTGTATTAATTTGGATCGGTTTTCGCTTCATTAGTTAAATAATATCTTTGATACATGATTATTACATACTTGTTTACCCTAATAAAAATAAATAAAACAATAAAATTAATTTGTGCGCCATCTGTCTTAAATATTTATACTTACTTATAATAAATGACTTCAGCTGGTATTCAATGAATATTTAGTATCGCTTGTTAGTTAAATTAGATTCTTAGCTACGCACGAACAGATGTCGCCGTTATTGCATTTCGTACAACAACACTAAAAGGCTGATTGCCGGCCAGGTCTGCTTATACGTCGATTTGCAATTTGATGATAAATAATTTTTTGTGCACCAGGAAAAACACTTCTTGTATAACTAAACTCGTAACACATGTGGAACTCGAAATCTCGTAAATTTTTCGCATCTTTGGAAGCAGACTGCGCCTGCTCATACACTGTAGAGAAATTTACTTATTTTTAATATATTAAATTTAGAAATTAACAAACACACACTCAACAATTAGATACTAGACTATTTGCTCTATTTCGCAACACATTTAATAGTTAAATCACATTTTTCAGTAAATTTTTTACTTACAACGCGCATAATTGGAACTTTTCAAATGGCGACGGAAGTTTGACAAAAAGAAGGGGTTGCCGCATTATATAATCGGATGCTATTTATTGTTGCTTAAATGTAATTATTTTAGGCGTATATTACTTAGTCTTAATTTAAAAAAAAAAAACAAATATTCATTTATAAACATACTAATGTAAATACAATATATTACAACATGCAATAACAAATCTGTTATAATTGTATGCATCAGCTTATTGCGCAAATATATTCATATGATGGTTACAAATAATATTATTCAATATTCTTTTTTTTTCATATTAAATTTTTTACTTTAAAAAAATATACCAACACTTCTTTAAAATTATATTATATAAAATTAATAAAAAAAATCGCATGTAAAATATTTAGCCCGGAATCTCTGCGCCAAGCTTATTCCAGTTCCTTCCAACCGCTTCTGTCAGTTTCCGTTGGCGCGAGTGAAAAGTTTTTAGCTACAATTGCAGTGGCTTATAAAAATGTGCAAATTTCTTTAAAATGTGGCTATAAGTGTTGAATCGATAATAACGAGTAATTCCTACTGTAAACAAAACGAAATTGTAAGCGTGCCTTATTATGAGTTAATGAAAAGCATATTGTCCGGCGAAAAAATCGTTAGTAGAAAAATGCATAAGAGAAAGTGTAATTGTTTATAGTATAAGAATATATAAAGCTGACTTTTGTTTATATACTTTTATTTCAGAGATCAAGTTTTCGAATATGGTACAATTTCAGGTGAGTGGTTCAAGATAATTGGATCTTAATTGGAATAAAACTCGAATCGAATCGTTGCGAATCTTTTTGGACGCATATCTTTGTGCACTGGCATGTTCATATATGTGTGTTAGTTTGCTTTTTTCTGATAGTTTGCAAATATAAAACCATCAAAGCCTAAATAACTATAAACATTGAAGAAGCAATTTTTAGCGTATTTTATAAAACTACTGTGACTACAGGCTTATGCACATTTTCAGATAAATTTGTTTGTTTTCATTGCTCTTGGAAGTTTCTAACATGATAATACAATGTAAACTAAACTTTACATCTTCCGAACTTGCCAAAAAAGTAAAACACTCTTATAGATACCATAATTGCCAACAGAAATGCTGTTGTTGATTTTCCGTGCTTCTTTACCTAGATTTTAAAAACGCTTAACAATTGCAGTTCCCTAATAATATAAGTAGCGCGGGGCTTCAACACAAATACACATGCTAAGAAAGTCCATGTTAGCCATCCAGCCATAACTCAACCATAGCAAAACTTAACTTGATCCATAAATATTCTCATGCAAATATCCAACATATTGCCAAAGAACGTCTTGGTTAAGTTGTTTGCATGAACCCACTAGTCGGCTGCATCACTTATTGCATTCGGTAACATGGATAGGTATAAGGGGAGAAGTAGATACATTTCATATAAAGTATGTGAGGCCCATAGGTTTCAAAGAAGTTTAGGCAATTTTTTTAGATAGTAACACAATGAGTGGCTACCTATGGGTCGTTCATCGGTTTCGCTCTTTTGCGTCCCCCAAATTTTTTGTGGTTCGGATTTTCCGAAGGTTTTATGATCTGCTAGAATTCATCAGGTCTTTTTCATTATACAATATGTTAAAAAAAAAAAAACTTTGTAATAAAAATCATTAGAAATTTTCTTTTTTAACTCTCATTTAATTTGGAATAAAACAATTATATCAATACCTTTGTTTACTGCATAATGGCCATTTGAGGATTTTACGGATTATAGGAATACTTTCAGAGGGATTTAGGAGATAACAGTATCAACGAAAGCTTTGTTTAAAGTTTAACTTTGGTTCTTTTTTTAATATAGATTTTTTTTGGTGACCTTTTTTTTACTGCACACAGAAAATTTAAAGTTTTAAGCTCACTTTAAAATAAAACAATTTTGTTTTCAAAAATAATTTTTATTTGCATACACTCAAAATATATATACATAAAGATTGTTATTTCAAAGACATTTGCATCTTACAAATTAGCAAAAATCAAGTTTCGTACATAGCTTACGAAACTAATAAATATTTATACACATAAACATATTATATTTTTTTATAGAAATATATTCAACGCCAATAAAATTTGCCAACAATATCTCAATTATGCGAATTTACATGCACTTTCTACAATTTAAAATAAATCTTAAGTGCAATTTCACTAAAGAAGCTTTTATTCTCAAAGCAACTCAAAATAAAAAGTGCGAATTACACCGCCAGCGGTGCAAGCTTTTCTAACGGTAACTACACATCTCCATTTAAACTTAATTTACATTTATTAAAAGCTCGATGTTTTACCTCGCGAAGTTTCGAGTATTTAAACGAAATTGTTTTGAATTATAATATATAAAATCATTTAAAATATACATACATATATATTTGTGTATATAAACCTGTTGTATAAAGGCCCCAACAGCAGACTATCATGTATAAAATTTCAATTGGTTTAACTGCAACTCTTCCAGTAGCCACTCCTTCGCCAGACTCCTCAGTCTCTCAGTTTGTGAAGATCACAACTAGCAGCGACAGTCTTTAATGCAACACATTAAATGGGACTGCTTCGTGCGGCTTAGCACATAGATGTATGGGTCGAAGGTGAAATTCAATGCCGTCAGCACATCGGCCAAAATGAAGAAGGGATGCGCCTTCGGCACACGGTTCGGTAAAATAGCCATTGGTATGGCAATCTGCATAGCATAAAAGAAAATAAATTGTGTGACATGTATTTAAGACACATTTAATTGCTATATTAAGGTCAATGGTTGTTTATTCAATTGAATGCGCCTACGGTGGACGCTTACCATTTGTGGCATCCAACAGATCACGAAGGAGATGCTGAGGAACGCCATCAGTTTGGCGAATTTAATCTCATCGGGGGATGTATTGGCTGTCATGGTGCCACTATTGCTGCGGTGATACAATAATGAGCCGCTGCTGCTCGATTTGCCTTCGGTACAATGTATGCTGCTCTTCTCGCCATTCAGCGTGTCGTAGTGGATGTGACGTTTGCTGGCACGCTTGCGGCTGATTACACACAGAGCGCGCATCACGAACAAATTACAAGCTACAATTACGACGCACAAAAGGGTGCCTGCAATGTAGAAAGGAAAAATTATCAAATTAAGTGGCAATTCGTATTGATTTTTAATTATTGATATTTATCGTGTGAGAAGAGTAATTGAAATCGATAGTTTTTTATATTTAAAATAGGGTTCTTTTCAAACAGTATAAAAAATTCACATTTATTGCTATTCTTATAGAACTCTACCTGGGTGGGCTGTATTTTCTTTAATTGTTTTCTTTTTATAACCTCCATCGACACATAGTTCTCCGAAGTGGGTATTTCAGTTCTTGGAAAAACAATTATTAAGTTGCTGGGCATCAAATATGGCCCTGGGGAGAGAAGAACTGATTTTTGAAGGGAAGCAACTTCTCTATGTTCTATACTTAGCCTAGTTTCTAGCAAATTGTAAATATTTAGTATAAGTCATGTGACAACGGAATTTTATGTAAAATAAACCTCAGTGGTATTGTGAAATCTATTTGCTATCTCATTTTTTCTCACTATCAGTGCCCTTAACCTGCTGATAATATTTTATGTTTTAAGTTTCAATGCAAATAAACTTCTTGAAGTTGAAGTTTACAACAAGGTAAAAGGTTAGGTTTTCATAAAAAATAGTAGATATGCTCAATGATTTTACTGATGAAAAAATCGTCTCAAGAGAAGTTTGTGAAAATCGGCTGCCCCAGTTTTTTTCTAATAAGGGTGAGTCCTTCTTTGAGAGTGGTATTAACATTTACCTACAAAATGGCAACTAGTTATCGAACAAAGCGGTGCATCGAAAATCCTAAATCGGATACTTCTAACTAAAACTAAGCTAAATAAGACTTAAAATTTAATACAAATGTAATGTATTTTTTTGCTGGACTCTATAGTTTGTGTTAATATCTCCCTTTTTCTCTCTCTCAGTTCCTGATTCTTACTAGTTAAACCTTTATGTTTTATATTTCGAAGCATATAAATTTCACGAAGGTTTTTTTGCACAGATTAAGCTATCAACATATTTTAGCTTTTAGCCCTTCAGTCCAAATGTGTGAGTTGAAATGGATGTATTGATCGGATGCCAATTCTGTGACGATAAAGTACGCAACTGAGATGTCTACCGAATTTAAATAGGTCGAAATTTTGTCTTCATAAGGTAAAATTTATTTTCTATAAAGAATATGAGAATCACCGTTCTTTATTTCTACCCAATAATCAATTTTTGTCTTCGTTTTCGAAAACTACATTATCTTTCATGTTTAAGGTTTATGTAAAGTATTCCAGGCAATAAAATTCGCGGATGAAAAACGCGCAACTTTCCATCTATCCCTTAAAAGAAATAAGTTTTGACTGTATTTTTTCATACATATCTCTTGAATTAGGTCACAATGACAATTTTATTTGACTGCTTCCTTACAGACAACAGCCCCTTAATCGAATTAGGATTATATTATAGGGTTTAAACAAAACTTAAAATTATGTTTTCTCAATAAATAAAATACCATAAACTCACCAAAAGACATAAACAACACGGAATACGTTTTATTCCAAAAGCCCTCGGCATCGCGATAACGCAAGCATTTCGGATTTGTTGGATTAGTCTCATCAACATAGGCGCCAAAACCGGTGAAGGGCAAAAACGTGACGGCCATGGCAATAAACACCAATATATTAATGGTTTTACGCACAAGCGCGTATGTGATGTGCTGCATTGTATAGTTATGGGAGAAGAAAAAGAAAACACACAAAATTAGACATAAAGGAATTTCGATTGTAAACATTATTGGGTAATAATTTTTGTACACATTCGGCAGACAGGCTTGTTATTATATGTCTGAACTTTGAAAATACTAAAGCTTTAATGAGATATTACACTTTTTTTGAATTACTTTTGTTATTTTTTCGTAGCAACAATTGTTTCGTAATATAATTATTTTACAAACTTTACAAAATATTTTATTTGGAGAAAACATTTAGAGATTAGTGGTGAACTCCATCAAAATTACTTGCTTAGCTATAAATAATACGATAGTCTTTGTTACTTAAAAAAAATGCTTTTAAGAATGTTGTCTCACATGTCATACGAACCTTGTGATAAATGAATGGTCTAGCTAGCGCCATAAAACGTTCAATCGCCATCACTGCCGCAATACAACCGGAACTAAGTCCGAAGAAGCGACATAAAACTTTCAGCGTGCAATCCCAACGCACGTACGCCTTGAACTCATCCTCGGGTACATATATTTTAAGCAATAGCATTGTTAAAATGCCTAGCAAACCGATAAGGTTATTCGACACCAAGCAACTGTAAAAAGAAAGAGTAGAATGTTAGTTTTCACACTTCTGCGAGGGTCCAATATCAAGAAGTAAGCGATTGTGTTAAAGGTAGAAAAAAGTTCTATATGACAATCATATATTTTTTTTTGTTTGTTTGCGGTGCTTTTTCACAGCATATTTTATTAAAAGAAAGCTTACAAATTTTTTTGCGTCACTGCACAACATTTAAAGATTTTTGATACAAAAACTGCAAGTATTTCGTTCGATGACCTTTCATCTGGAATTTTCATGCATCTCCGCCTATTTCATTCAATTTTCGCCGTGTTCTGTTATACTTTTACTACTTTCACGCTCTTTTTATTGTGTAAACATGTTCGCATGTGTATCACACCAAGCCCATAAATTTAAAATGTTACTTGACTTATGTCTCGACTAGCCACGTGCGCTCCTAAATATAGATACATATGCAAGTATCACAATATTTCAATATCAAGCAAATTTTTATTACAATTTAGCGATGACTAGTGAGTTTGCTTATACCTATTATATATACGTGGCTATAAAATAGTGCCTTTACAGCTTAAATACATTAATGTTTCTATTCCTGGCTTCATACCATCAAAGATATTAACAGATCAATAAATACACAAGATGAGGCGCTTTTTCAATACTCAAAATGAAAAGAAAAGCCGCTAATGATTCATTTGAATAATATATGAATGGAATAAATGTAATGGAGTTATGCTACAAGTTCAATCTGATGTCATCAATACGGAGATGATATTATTTTTCTCGTTACTTTTGACATTGACATTTAGTCTGTCAATTGCAGTTGTTTGTAAAAATTGTTATGAATGAATGTATAATATATATGTATGTTCATGTTTGGCGATTTTTTGTAGATTTTGTGATTTGAAATGTAAAAAAAACGAATTTTTATGTGAAAAACTTCACTTGACAAAGCTGAAATCGTGAGGGTTTATGTGGGACCTTGAATGTTATGTTACAAGGATATTTGTGAACATTAGGCAAATTTCCCTCATGATTTTTTTTAACATTGCAAAAAGCTTTTATTCATTATTTTGACCTACATATATATATTCTAGGAAATATGTGATTGGTTTCTGTGATACATACACAAAGCTTTGATCCGCTAAGGTCTTTTCAAATTCCTTTATTGAAACTGTATTAAACCTATTAAGTTCGAAACACAAATTAATTTAATTGTACCGTAGTTAGCGATTTTTCTTTTTTTAAATAATTTATCTGAGAATTAATCACAACAGTTTGCAATTCAAATTTTTAAACAGGTGATAATCAGTTTCAATAAAAAAAGTTTGATACCAATCTGAAAATTTTTTAAAATTTTTTTTATATAAAATTGGTTTTTTATATTTGTGGTAATTAGTTTCAATTAAAAAAATACTAAACACTTCTTCAGTTTGATTCCAATCCGAACATTTTTTTAATTTAAAATTTTCGAACAGGCGGCAAATCTTTTCAAATAATCCTCCACAATACTTACTGATACTTATATTTTAAGATTTTATTAATTTTATCAATTTATTTGTTTACAAAAAATAATCTGAATAAATAAAAATTGAAGCAGATGGCAACATCTTTTAAATATTTATTAACTATAAGTTAGATATTTCCCCTAGGAACTCTGGGAGTTTCTATATAAGTTTTTGTAATTGTCAGTTTTTTATAGTTAAAATTTCTAACCAATTGGTAACCATATTAAATGTTTTCAAGTGTAAACTTTCTTAAATTTTATCAGTTTTTAATGTTTCCTTTTTTTTACTATTTTTCAGTAAAAATTTACTAAATGTGGCAAGAATCCAAATCAATTATTTGAAATCAAACGAATATTACACCGAATGATCAAAAAAAAAAAATTAATCAGCGCGATCAGCAATATTTTGGTATTATTAATCAGTATATTGCTTGACGGTGGTATTTCGTTTGTCACACTAATTCGTTGCAGTGCATCAATTTTACTACCAAGTCTAAAACTGTTTCACATTAAAAGGGTTAGGAATGCTTTCTGGAGAAGAGAGATTCTCACCAATATTATAGGAATTTAAAGCACTCTTAATATTTCGAAAGTTTTTTGCTGGTATACATTTATTTCAAAAACTTTAAGTTCTTAAACTAACTTGAAAAGTTATGTGATTTCGACTCTCCATTTTTATAGTTGATAGAAATTTAAGAGTTTCTTAATGCATTAAAGAAAGTGATATAAGGAAAAATTAACATTTATAATAAACTTTTGTTTTTTTTTGTACTTTGTAATCCCAAAATTCTTTATTAAAAATAAAATTCAAATTTCTATCTCTTTATAGTAAAAAATAAAAAATAAAATTATTTTTGAATTATATTTTTATTTTTAAAATTATTTATTAAATTGCAAGTTTAATTTTGAATAAAAAAATTTGCATACCCTGATCTTGAGTGGGATTTCCCATTAAGTTGTTGTCGTTACTCTCTCTTAAGATAAGACCCAATAATTTAGACAGTTAGTTTATTGTTTAAATAATAGTGGAAACAGACCAATAAAGTGAAGAGGAATAGATAAAGTCATTTGTACATCTCATTCAATCTATATTCTACGGTCTGTCACATTCACAGTCACACCTCAAATAATTTGCTAAAAATTTTCGACTTTAAACACCTCTAACATTCACGCAATAGAGCCTACATATGGCTATGTTCACTATGCCGATAAGAAAATATTGATATATTTATGTACGAGTATGTATGTTTTTACACCTGCATGCTTTGGATGTTTAATTGCCGAAAGCCGACAACTTTGACTTCTCATCATTAAGAGTATATGTATGTATGTGTGTGTGTACCATTACAGCTCCGCAGAAATGTTTTTGCGTCATAAAATACGCATTTGTTTATACATACATACATATATGTACATATATATAGTATACATGCATACACATCCATACATATATATTGCTCTTTGATTACAAATACTAAACCTTATACCATGAACCTGTGCCTATTCCTATATACCTATATGTTTATTGGTACAATACAATAGGGAAATATTCGCAAAAGTGTGGGTGTATGAAAACACATATAGAGTGCATACTCGTATATACGTATATATTTAAATGTGGCATGTTCAATGTACTTTGATAATCAGGTAATTAGTTATCAAGAAGGGTGCTCATAAGCTCTTCCGGTCATAGAAATATCTCTCATAATGAATGTATTTTTGATTTTTACGAAAAGAAATTCAGTTAAAATAAAAATAGGAATTCGTAAAAATGTTTACGATTTGTGAGAAAAAAAATGTCTGCAAAAGAAATTTAAATTTTTTTGTGGAAAATTAATCAACAACCCTGATAGCCGCGTATTTAATATACTTGTAAGTGATTGTTATCGGGCCAAAATGATTTTCAGATAAAAATAAAAATGTTTTCCGATTGTTTTGTTGACAGGTAAATCACCATTGGCATGTGTGCGTACTGGCGATGCATAAAAATGTATGAATTAACGCGCATTTACATACAAATGAATTGGATAATTGAATACACATTTGTGCGGTAGGTAGAAAATTTGCTTGATAGCATTTAGTCAATAAAATCCACAAAGGGAGATAAAGAGAGAGAGGGAGAGAGAGTGATGTTCCTAAAATGCCGCTATGAAATTAATAATAATATTTCAAGCGTCAGCAAAATATTGAAATAAATCTGTATTCATAAAAATATTTTTTAATTTTCCATAAAGGATGCTAAACCAAAATCACTTTTGCAATAAGTAATCAAGAGATATTGCACAAGCAAATAATAATAAAAGACTTTCCTTCATGGAAATTTTATTTATATCCATTGCACCTCACAATAATCGTAAAATTTAATTCTTATGCAGGAGATGGCTTACAATACTTGCATTTGTCGTTTCAAGTTTTATTTTAGGCTTCATCTTCAAATGAAACTTAAACTTAGTAGAAAAAGCTCAAATAGCTGTCTTTTGCTTGTCTCATAAATATATAGCTTGACTAAGTAATAAAAATGAAACAAGAAGAAACGTTAACTATATATAGCTATAATACCCTTCACAAATACAAAATATTTCTTAAAAAACTTGAATCCGATCATTCAGTTTGCATGAAAACTATACGCTATAATTATCCGATCTGAACAATTTCTTCGGAAATTGCATTTTTGCCCAAGATAATAACTAGTGCCAAAATTCGTGAATATATCTCGTCGAATAAAGAAGTTTTCCTTAGAAGCACTTGATTCCGATGGTTCAGTTTGTATGGCAGCTATATGCTGTAGTGGTCCCATACCGGCACTTACCGACAATAAGCAGCTTCTTGGGGAGAAAAGAACGTGCCTCATACAGGTCGTCTATTTACCTCTGGTTGTGACGATAACATTGAAGGAGTTAAAAAAACAGTGTGTGAATATCGTCACGTTGGCATTAGAGAGATAGCAGAGGACCGACTCAACAGAATTTGGTTATTGTTTTGGGTAGGTAGCGTGTCAAAAAAAGATAATTGGCAACGTAGCTGAGGACATTACATTCATCAAAAGAATCATTACTGGTGACGAGACGTGGGGTTAAGAATATAACGTCGAAACTGTTCAACAATCTAACGAATGGCGTTCCAAAAATGAGCCGAATGAAGGCCATACCAGCCGAGGCCTACACCAAGTGTATGGAAAATAGGTGCATATTTTAAATGCGATAATAAAGACTTATATTTAGATATGAGAAAGTGTTTTTTTTTTTTTATTTGACCAGGTGACTATTTAATATCATAGTGTCATAGTTTCAAAACCTTGAAAAAACTTTCGTTAACTCACCTTCAAGAAGTTCTAAGCTGACTATCACAGTAATATTACTTTTACAACATTTTTTGTAATCAGAAATCATGGATTAACTTTAACAAAGAAATTCGTTCTTTTCTCTAATCATTCATGAATATAATTTTATATTATATGTATATATATATATTTATGACCATAAAATAGTTTTATTGAAAGTGCAACATGCGTG